GCTGGATTTGGGTTTCATTTGTTGTTGCTTTTCAAGTGTCTTGAGTTGCAATGTTAAGTCATGTATTTGTGTTTTTTTCCGGTTTTTTGATGTAAGCACTTAGAGCTATAAACTTCCCTCTAAGGACAGCTTTGAGCGTGTCCCAGAGGTTTTGTTGTGTTGTATTGTCCTTTTCATTTAGTTCCATAAATACTTTTATTTCTTTCTTAAGTTCTCTTTTGGTCCATTCATCATTTAGGAGTGAGTTGTTTGATCTGCATGTGTTCATGTGGTGAGTAGGGCTTCTTCTGGTGTTGATTGTAAGCTTTATTGCATTGTGGTCTGATAGAATGCATGGAATTTTCAGTCTTTTTGTATTTGTTCAGGTTTGTTTTGTGCCCCAGTATATGGTCAGTTTTGGAGAAGGTTCCATGGGGTGCTGGGTAGAAAGTATGTCCTTTGGTGCTTGTGTGGAATACTTGGTAGATGTCTGTTAAGTCCATTTGATATGTGATATTGGTTAATTCAGATGTCTCTCTGTTAACTCTCTGCCCTGTTCAGCTATCTAATGGAGACAGGGGTGTATTGAAGTCCCCTACTATTAATGAGTTGGGATTAATCTGGGTCTTAAAGTTCTGTACTATTGTTTTTATGAAGTTGGGTGCACCAGAGTTTGGTGAATATATGTTCATGATTGTAATATCTTCTTGATTTATTGTTGCTTTGAGCAGAATGACGTGGCCCTCTTTATCACTTCTGATTAGTTTTAGTTCAAAGTCTATTTTGTCAGATATTATAACTGCTATGCCTGTTTTTTTCTTAGTACCATTTGCTTGATATATTTTTTTCCATCCTTTCACTTTGAGATAGTGTCTGTCCTTGAAAGTGAGATGAGTTTCTTGCAGACAACAAAAAGATGGGTTTTGTTTCTTAATCTATTCCCCTAGTCTATTTCATTTGACTGGGGTGTTCAGTCCCTTAATATTTAAAGTTATTAATGAAAGATGGGTATTGAATCCTGTCATTCTTATTTCTGTTTACATTCTTGATATAGCTGTACTTTTCCACAGTTATACCTTCATTGAATTTCTTTCCACAACCCTTTGGGTATAGTCGTTTCTTTCTTCAGCTCTCTGTATTGCTTCCAGACTCTCTGAAGGGCTGGTTTTGTGGACATGAATTCCTTCAGCCTATTTATGTCATGGAAGATTTTTCTTTCCCCTTCAACTATAATAGATATTTTCACTGGTTTGGCATCTGTGGTCATTTAAAACTGGGAATACTTTGGTCCAGGCTCTTCTGGCTTTCATAGTTTTCACTGAAAAGTCAGCTGTAATCCTAATGGGTTTTCCTTTATATGTGACTTCTTGTTTCTCTTTTGCAGCTTTCAGTATTGCCTCTTTCTTTTGTACATTTAGTGTTTTTACTATGTTGTGCCGTGGAGAGTTTCTTTTCAGGTCATGTCTGTTTGGTGTTCTATATGTTTCTTGTATTTTTATGGGCATGGCTTTCTTTAATTTTAGAGAATTTTCTTCCATGATTCTGTTGAAGATCTGGTCCATGCCATTATCTTGGGATTCTCTGTCCTGTATGCCTATGATTCATAAGTTTGGTCTTTTTATGGTGTCACACAATTCCTGCATATTCCATTCTTGTGCTTTCTTAAATTTTTCATAATCTTTGCTTGAGTGGTCTAGTTCGTCCACTTTATCTTCCAATCTTGATACTCTGTTTTCCATTTCGTTCATCCTATTGGTGAGGCTTTCTCCTGTCATTTCTAATTGGCTTACTGAGTGTTTCACTTCCTTCTTCATTTCAGCCTGAGTAGTGTTCAATATTTCTAGCTCTTTTCTGAATTCATTCAAAAGTGTATCCCTATATTCTTTCAGTTCTTTGATTTGTGTGTTCTTTAAATTCACTGAATTCTTTTATCATGTTTATAATTGTTCTTTTGAGTTCCATGTCCTGTGTAATCTTTAGGGGGTTCTCATTGTACTCCTCTAGAGGACTATTCGTATTTTGTGGGGATATGTTATTTTGGTTTTTCATGTTATTATCTTTTTCTGTGTGATTTTGACATGTGAATTTCTTTTTTAGTCTGATTCTTGTGTGCGACTCAAGCCTTCAAGTTTATGTCTACTTCTTTTTTTAAATGTCATGTGTCTTTGTGATTTTATTTTTTAGTTATGAAAAGCTGGTTCCTCTAAGCTTCCCGTTGTCTCTTTTGATTTTATATTGGAGTGGCCAGATTGCTTTTGTCTTCAGGAGTCCCCACAGAGGCCCAATTCAGATGAGGATCAGATGCTCTCAGGCTTTCTCCTAAGGTCTGGATCCCTCCAGGAAAGATTTTGGCCTCAGGAATTTGGGGGTTGGACTGGCCTGGGAGCCAGGCCCAGGAAAGATGCTGGTCTAAGGCAGCTGGTGGCTGAGGCAGCCAGAGATGAAAGGAAGATGGTTGTGGGAAGCAGCTTCAAGTGCTCCTGGGGACTGCACTGAGGAGCTGGGTTGGTCTGGATGCACAGGATCAGGAAGCAGTGGTGGTTCCCCAGGTGTCTGGGGCACCACGATAAGGAATGGGACAGGACCCAGGCTAGAGGAGAGGCAGGTGGGGGAGATGAGAGGGTCAATGAGCCTGGGGGAGTCAAGGCCCGGATGGTGTGATCGACTTACCCTGGTGAGAGGTCTGCAGGTTGGAGAGAGGCCTGAGTGTTGTGCAGGTCCAGAGAAGCAGAGGGAGGTGAGCTGTACTTTGGTTTTGTATCTGTTACAAATTTTCTGATAGTGTTTATCAGGTCTTAGAGTTTGCTGACAGAGTCTTTAGAGTCTTTTAAGTACAGTATCATGTCATTTGTAAATAGACATAATTTTGGCTTTTTCCTTTCCTCTTTGAATTCCCTCCCTCCCTCCCCTCTCTCCATCCCTCTCTCCATCCCTCTCTCCCTCCCTTCTTCCCTACTTTTTTCCTTCCTTTGAAGGAAGGCCGAGGAAAGCTGCAGGTCTAGGGCAGCCGGTGGCCATGCCACCCAGAGATGCAAAGAGAGATGGGAGAGGGAAGAGACTCCAAGGGCTCCTGGGGAGTGCACTGAGGAACTGGGTTGGTCTGGATGCAAAGGATCAGGATGGGGAAAGGTCAGCCCTAGTGTCCAGGAAAGAGGCTGGCCAGGTTGTGCAGCCCAGGGAAACAGAGGGAGTTGAGGGCAGGGCCAGGCCCAGAAGGCTCCTGGGGACCCCAGAAGGAACTGGGTTGGTCTGGATGCAAAGGATCCAGAAGCAGTGGTGGTTCCCCTGGTGTCTGGGGTGCCAAGACAAGGAAGGGGACAGGACCCAGGCTAGGAGGAGAGAGGGGTGGGGAAGATGGGCAGGTGAATGGGGCTGAGGGATTGATATATTTTATTTTTTATGTGTATGAACTTTTTGCCTGTGTGTATGCAAGTGCACTCACCCATTGAATGCCCATAGAAGCTAAAAGAGGGCATCAGGAACCCCTGGAATTGGAGTTAGGGACAGTTGTTAGCTGCCACGTGGGTGCTGGGAACAGAATCTGGGTCCGCAGCAAGAACATCCAGTGGGCTTAACTGCTGAGCCATCTTTCTAGCCCAATTTTTAAAAGTCTTTACCTTTTAGAGAGTCAAACTGATGTGATATTAGGCATTTCTTTGACAATAACGCAACAGATGAAGAGGATTGTTCGTGAACTGGTGATTGTTGCAGCCCAGTTCTTGGGGCCTAATACTATTCTGCCTACTTTTACATTATGTTTGATCTCTTCTACAAAGGAATGCCATGCTCATTGATGCACACAAATGCATACTGAATTTCGGGAAAACTTCTCAGGAGTCCTGAAGAAACCTTAGAAGCAACTTGGTCCAATCTCCACATCCTTTTCTTTTGAGGACAAAGAAGAAAAGAAGACTAAGGAGAAGATTGCAACACGGCTCACAGATACTTTGTTAATTTTATCTGGGCATGGTGGCACACACCTTTAAAAGGGCTCAGGCTAGCATGGTCTACACAGTGAGTTCCAGTTGAGGTTATAGGGAAAACTTTTCTCAATCAAAAACAAAACCAAAGCCCAAACCAAAACAACAAAGAAGACATCTAGGTTTACAGAGCAGGAAAGCAAGAGAGAAAAGACTTCTACGCCCAGACATCTGTTTAGTTGCTTAATTTTTTCCTTATCATCTATTTTTGTTTTAATTTTCCAAGTAGAATTATTACAATATTTAAAGCTGAAAATGTTTACCAAACATTCCAACTGATTTGGTCTTCTAGGTTTTAAGCTATATAATCTTCAAATACTTCTAATCTTTCCTTAAAAAGTTTGAAATCGGAAGATATGAAGGGGAAATGTTAGTTCACTGCACTTCCACGTCTTAACTTTTGGTTTTAATTTTTGCTGAGTGACCCGGTGATCTTAGGTAGAAGAAACTACACCTTTAACTGTTCCCTCCCACGTGATAATGTTTTTGGGTTTTTTTATTGATTTCTAAGGTACAGGATATTCTGGGAGAGTTTACGTCAGCACCAACTGTTACAGTAACTACCGTATTGACACTTGTTTTCAATGGACAGAAATTAGAGGTGGCGCGCAAGCACAGTTCGGGGACTTTAGAGTTCACATTTAATCATTATTTTTCTGTGACTTAGTCTCTTAACCACTGTTGATGCCAGATGCCTGAGAAAGCTAGCATCGAAAAATCATTCCCATTGGTATATTTCTCAGATTGAAGCTGGGCACAAAGCTTAGAATACGTCACCCTCCTCTTTCCAGAGAGCAACGCTAGAGAGGACCAGGAAGCAATTGCAGGACCAGGAAGCAGTGGTGCGCCTGCGCTGACGGCTCTGTTCGACTCGCCTGCCTTTCCGCATACGACTAACAGGCGGCGCTGCGCGGTAATGCAGTCGTGCTCCCCGTGGGGCGCTGGAAAGAGCGGCAGAGGTGAAGCGAGCTGAGGGGCGTTCTATCTTCCACTGCCCTAGTCTCTATCGCCCTTTGTCCTCCAGCCTCCTCCGGGCCCTGGGCCTGCGGGCCTGGTTGCTAGGCGGAAGCGCGGCGCGGAGGCGTCCGCGACTGCAGCCGGGGCGTTTGAAAAAGCGGCTTAGCAGGCGGCAAAAGGTCCCGGGGCGGCGGGTTGCGGGGCGGCGTGTGTCGCGAGTCCCGGCCGCATTAGGGCCTGGGGAGCGGGCCCGGCGGTGGGGACGCTCCGGGGCCTGCGGGTCGGGACTGCACCTCACCGGGGCTTTCTCCCCGCAGACCTCCCGCCGCCACCATGGTCTCCAAGTCCGACCAGCTACTCATCGTCGTCTCCATCCTGGAAGGTGAGCGGCCGCAGGTTTTCTTTTGGAACTGCTGCTTCCCGAAGTAGGGGAGAGTCGTGTGTGACAGAGGCTTTGTTAACCTTAAGAACCCTGTCATCTTTGCTTTTGTGGTCCCCAAAGACGTGTTCAGTTGTACGCCGCGAAGTCTGTTAGGCAATTGATTTAAACATCTCTCAGGGGAACATGAGAGCTATTAGGGATAAGTGATATTTAGCGTGACTAGCCGTAGCCCCAGAGAATGTAGAAAAAAACGATTTCCATCAGAAGCAGCCTGTCGATGGCTTTTATATATGAGCTAAAAGTGCCTGCAAAGCACGTTCTGTTGAGCAGTCTCCTGGTAATGCCATTTGTAAGAACTTTGCCATTAACTTTAATACAAGCTTCCTATCATTTCAGTATTACCGAGACTGTCCCTTTACAGGTCTTGAAAAGGGTTACCTAGGGGGGACTACCATTGTTAAGGCGCATTACTTGTCCCTTTGGTGTTTGTTGAATGACAATTGTTTATTGGCGAATGTCAGGCGCTGTACTGGCAGTGACTAACACAGTCCTAAAATCTAAGAGAGAGGGTGAACACGCGTCGAGACTTTGTGTGGATGAACAGCTCTGTCTGGGAAGATGAGGAAGGTCTTTCCAGGGGAGATGACATTTATTTGGGTCTTAAGGAATTTGTCAGGTAAAAAAAGGAAGGGCAAGATGGTCAGGCCACAAAGAGCACTTAAAGTATGAAAAAAGGAGGCATGTTTTGCCCTGATCTACTTCATTCAGTAAATGTGGCTTTAATTCAGTTTAGTCAGAGACCTGATTGCAGGAGGTGGAAGGGCATAGGACATGTTTGGTAAATTGGAATAGGCTATCATTATAAGGTAGAGTAATCTTGAGGGTTGAACCAAAGGTGTGGGTGGGCTCCTCTCCCCTTCAGGAGAGACCTGATACTGTTTGAAGAGAGGGAACTGAACTTTTATGACTTGACCACAAACCGTTAAAGAATCAGGACAATATTAACTGTTACATTAGTGTGTACGAACAAGACTGAAATAATTTTTTAATTGGTTGACAGAAGGTCTTAGATTTAGAACTGGGCCCTTTGCTGTGAAAAAACAAATGTAGTATGATCCCTTCCCTTCTACCACAGAGGGGTCCGTCTACTTGAGATGGTCAAATCTGATGCACAGGACACAATATGTTGAGATGTAATATAATATAATTATATTTTTAATTATATTATTTAATATAATAAAGTCGTGTGATGCAGACTATAAACATGAGTGTGTCGGTAGACTAGGAGGAATGGTTGAAATACCTTCTGTTATGAGCTTTAGACAAGGATAGAAAAGTCCCTTCTGGTGACTGGACAAGCCAGGGCAGCATGAGAATGAACACAGTGGATGGGATGCTGAAGAAGGCAGCAAGATGAACAGGGTAGGGAATAGTGCCTGGTAGGAAAGCTCTGGAGGATCTTGAAAGCCAAAGAGCTGAGGAACCTGCTGATATGGAAATCTAGTTGTCTTCAAATCTTTCAGAGTTCTGAAGGATAATGTGTGCATGCCTTAAAGTAGCAAGCATGGCCCTTTGTGATAGACCTCTGCCCATTCTTTCAGCCTCATCTGTTCCCAAGCCTCCAGTGATATTGAACTGCTTATTTCTAGACTACATTTCAAGAAATATCCTTAATTATAAAGAAATTTAATTTCTACCACAGACAAAATTTAAGCTAGGTTCTAGATTCCAGGGATGAAAAGATAAGGTTTCTATATTTTATTGTCGTTGTTGTCTTTGAGGTGAGGCAGGCTGTAGTGGTCATCATTGTTGTCAACTTGACATAATCTGGAAACACCTGGTTGATAGGCCTGTGAACATGTCTTCTGAGGATGATTGTGCTTACATTTAAGGTGGGATGATCTGCCCACTGTGGGTGGCACCATTCCCTAAGGGACCCTGGACTGTGTAAGAATGGAGAATGCTGACTGAGTGCTAGCATGCATGAATTTACTGCCGTCTTCTGACTGAAGATATAACGTGACCAGTTACTTCAAGGTCCTGATGCCTTGGCTTCCCCACGATGTGGGATTGTAAATTGAACTGTGAGCTAAAATAAGCCCTTCTCCCAGAAGTTGTTTTTGTCAAGGTATTTTATAACAGGTAAAGAAACCCAGACACAGACACCTTTTCCACTGAATATGCTGTTCTCAAGCCTACTGGAGATTATCAGGATGATAGACTGAAAATGTAAATTCTTCCACATATATGAAGTTCATTTGAGGAACCTAGTCGTATCTTAGAGCATTAGAAAATGAGACAGGTCTCGGAGTACTAATTAGGAGAACCAGTATGTGTTAAAACTCCTAATAAACAGTTTGAAATAAGGGCCTCAGGCTGACAATATTTTTCCTTTTTTAAAATATTATTATTTTTATTTTATGTGTATGAGTGTATTGCCTGCAGGTATGTAAGTGCACCTATGTCATGCAGTGTCTACTGAGATCAGAAGAGGGTGTCGAATTCCCCTGGAACTGGAGTACGGATGGTTGTTAGCTGCCTGTTGCATGCTGGGAATCAAACCCAGGTTCTCTTCAAGAGCAGCCAGTGCTCTTAACCACTGAGCCATCACTCCAGCCCATTTTCCTTGTTTTAAAAAATTTTAAGATTTATTTATTTACTTGTGTATGTGTCTGTGTGAGCATATGTATACATACATATGCCTGTGTACGTCTTTGGAGACCAGAAGAGGGCTTTGGGTCACTTCCCTCCCTTTCTCTACCTGTTCTCCCTGAATCTGAGTTTTCTCAGCTAGGCTGGAAGCCAGTAAGCCCCAGTGATCCTCTTGTCTCTGCCCTCATTGGAGCTGAGATTATAGGATACCTGGCTTTTTCTCTGAACTCAGGTCCTCATAATTGAGCAGCAAGGTAGCCCTTAACCACTGAGCCATCTGTCCAGCCCCCAAGGCTGACATTTTTTAAAAAATTATTTTTGTTTCATGTGTATGAGTCTATTGCCTGCATGTATGTAAGTGCACCCGTGTCATGCAGTGCCTGTGGAGGTCAGAAGAGGGCATCAGATTTCCCTGGAACTGAAGTTACCAATGGTTGTTAACCACCACGTGGGTACTGGGAATTGAACCCAGGGTACTCTACAAGAGTAGCCAGTGTTCTTAACCACTGAGCAGTCTCTTCAGTTAAGTTTTGCAGTCAGGTCTTTTTCTTTTTTTTTTTTTTTAATTTTATGTGTATGCATGTATTGCCTGCATGCAGATAAGTGCACCCATGTCGTGCAATGTCCGCAGAGGACAGAAGAGGCTGTCGGATTCCCTGGAACTGGAGTTATGGACAGTTGTTAGCTGCCATGTGGGTGCTGGGATTCGAACCTGGGTCCAGTGTTCTTAACCTCTGAGCCATCTCTCCAGCCCCTCCTTTTCTTTTTTAACCAGAACATTTATGTTATGGCTAATTGACTGATTGGCTGATTGTTAAAATCCTCAAGATGAACTGGAGGCTGCCACAGCTGCCCTCTTGGGTATAGGTGAGGTGTTGTTTCTTCATGGGAGCCATGTCTGAATCTGCTATAGGTAATTTTTAGGTGCTTCGTTTGCCCAGTCCTGGTAGTATTTTGTCTCTTAGCCTTGGCACTTCACTTAACGCTTTCTCTTCAGCTTGTTACGGTAGCACATGTTCAGCACAGGTCAACTTCTAAAGAGACAGACCTTGGAGCCACAGGGCTGCACAGCTTGTGAGTCTTGCTGCAGTGCTCTCCAAATGATGGTGTTCCTTTCTGCTTCTCCCATCCAGACCAAGGAGACCTTGGTTTTTTATTTGTTTTGGAGTCTTATGTAGTTCAGACTGGCCTTGAACTCACCAAATATGACCTTGAATCCTTGATCTCTGCCTCTACCTCCCAAGTGCTGGGAATACAAGTGTGTGCCACCATCCCACCAAATCCAGGTCTTTCCCACCAGTTTATTTCCTAACCAGGTAGCTTTAACCAGGGCTGCATAGCAGCAGGAATCCCCTCACTGTGATCCCCCTCACCAGACCTAAAAACTAAACTAGTATCTACAAGATTCTTAGCTGTTCTTATTTTTTGTTTCCAGTTTTCAATATTTTCTTTCCATTGGACCCTCAATTTTTTAAAATTATTTAGTTAATAACCATATAATTAGAAGAGGCATTTCATTACAACAGCATTGACATATTCAATAACAATTTCTAGAGCTAAGATGCATCTCTTTCAAAATTGGCTATAAATTTTTCGGTTTACAGTTGAATTAATATAGTTACACAATATTGTACTCAGTATAAACCATATAATACATAAAATTAAATGAGGTTCCAACGTTTAAAAAAGATCTCCACTGCGTTGTCAAAACACACAGAGATAAAAAGTCATCAGGTAGATTTCAAAGGTAATGTTTTTCACATTTACTAATTATTAAGGAGCAAATTTTTATGCTTTGAAGAATTTTTGTTTTTTTGGTTTTTTAAAAATTTATTTATACGCCCACTTCCCAGGTAGCACCCTCCCATAGCCTCCCTTCCTCCACTAGAGCCCTTATACTCTGATATCCCTGCTACTGTCTGCTGTGTTGTCGGCACCCCCAGCCATTCCCCACTACTTGCCCTTCTGGTGAATCTAGTCAACCTATCTAGAGGTCTTTGTTTTAGGAGGGTCAGCTGTTCCTCATCTAGCAGTAATCAGTTGTCAGTATTCCTTTGGATAAGATTGGGGTCTGCTGTTCAATTTCCCAGTTCTATGCTGGGTTACTGAGAATCCCTTTGTCCACCCTGGCCAACAACTCAAAAGAGGGTATCACCTGTCTGGCATTGTTGCTTGTTATGTAGCCTTTGGCTATACATATGGACTCTTATGAAATTACATTGGCCCCTTTAATCTTTGGTTATACTTTCCTTTTGTGTGTTTAAGGCCATATAGTTGGCCCAGATAAACCGATTTATTTTCCCTTTTAAGGTCATTTGAGAATCTGTTTCCTCAGGGGTCAAATGGGC